TTCATCCCTCAAACTAACTCCAGCTAAAAAATCCGTTAAGTCAAAGGTAGTTTTGTCTTTCTATTATTTTTACTTATTTTAACTTATAATACATATAAAGAATTAATATAATATATTATTAGAGCATCTCCAAATGCGATGCTAATCTAATTGAAGAGGGGTTTTTTGTGCTACAAGAGCTATACTATCTTGTATGTTAAAATAGAGAAAAGAGAAGATAGATTGTAAAAATCTATAAACTTAGAGAAATCTCTAAATAGAGAGAGAAATTATAATTTTAATACTTTTCACCGATAAAAGATATTTATAATAAATGTGTAGGAGAGAAAAAAAGATTTTATCAAATATATTGAATATTTTAATAGTTATAGTTAATGTTAGAATTGTTAAAATAAAATAGTTGTTGGAGTTGAATGTAATTCTTTTTAGAGATTTTGATTTTTAAATACTCTATTTTGGTATTTATTAAACTAGCAAAATAATTTTAAATTCAAATAAATAAAGTTGTTGCCTAAAATGGATTAAAACAAAAATATATTGTTTAAAATGATAGTTGCCTTAAAAGATGCTACTATTTTTTTTTTTTTTGGGTAAATGTGGGTTTCCAAGACAGCTTATGTGCACCAACTAATCCCTGGTGACCACGAATGATCTGGGTCATTGCAGGTGAACTTACATGACCACAAGGGCTTTACAGATTCGAACTCAAGGAAGATGAGAGTCCACCACATCACCCGCTATTGTTAAAGGGTAATTGCAAAACATTTTATTATGCTTTAATTCTATTCATATTCTCTGTAATAACTTTCAAAACCTTCATTTATATATATACTCGAAATGATGTCCCAAACATTTAGATGCATGGTTTACACATAAGAATGCATGAAAATGCAACATATGTTAACCACATGGGTTGTGATGCATTGGTAAGGCTCAAGGGGGGGGGGGGGGGAGTGTATTGGAAATCTCATATTCCATGGGTTTGAACCCAGACACTGTCAAAGCTCTTATGGCCATAAAGGCTCATCTGCGATGACTCCAATCTATTTGTGGTTGCCCTCATGTTAGCCAATGCGTGTAAGTTGACATGGAAACTCATAATTACCTAAAAAGTGCAACGTATATTGGTTGCTAGTTTGTGTAACATACTTTGTTCTAAATGTTTAAGAGATCAAAATGAAGTTCTTCAAATTAGGTTATATAAAATAAAGGGCAAATTACATGAAAAAGTAACAAAATTTAACTTGATTCCTATTTTGGGTAACATAATTTCAAAACTTCCATTTTGGTACCTAAGATGTAAAGTTTTAAACATTTAAATACCCGGGTAACCACTTGAAGACTAAAATTAGATTAAAAAAAGATTAATTTTATATTTAAAAATATCCATGTCACTGACCACGTCAGCAAATAATCACTCGCCACATCGGCATGATAATCGGTTAATACTTCAACCAGTTACCCGGGTACTTAAATGTTTAAAACTTCACATCTTAGGTACCAAAATGGAAGTTTTGAAAGTATGTTACCCAAAATAGGAATCAAGTTAAAGTACGTTACTTTTTCATGCGATTTGCCCTAAAATAAAAAACAAACTTTGTGTTTCTTGCAATTTTATTACTACTAAAATAACATCGTCTTAAATTTGGTTCAAAAAGTTGTCCAAAATAAAAAACAAATGTTAATTTTCTTTGGCAAAAAACAGATTATTATTAATATTTTTGTAAATATAAAACATTATTTATGATAATCGTTGTATCTGATATTTGAACAACTAAGTGCATTAAGTACGAAATTACTGAGACAATTATTTAAATGGTAAAAATGGCATCTCATAAAATATTAACATGACTAGCAAGAAAAAGCGATATTTCAAATAAACTGCCATTAAAATGTGGTTCACAAGGGATATGACTAAATGATTGATGTATACAAAAAAAAAATATCGAAATCTTACACAAATAAGTCATGGAGATAAGATGTATGTACTTACCTCTATCCCTAAAAGTTAAAAGACACTTTACAAGAAGACCCTCAACTTTCAATTGATCAAAACAACCACTACAAAACAAATGACTTTTACTTACAACTATCACTAGGGAAATTCCCTTCGGTGATTACTTATGGATCATCCAGAAAATACCAATGGTTCAGTAAAATTTGATGTTTTTTTCTAGAAATACCAACGGATCATGCAGAGAATACTTGGATAATTTGTCACTGGTTTGAGTTACTGTAACATCCAATTTCTAATATGCCCAATTATTTGCTTGGTATTTTTAATTATTGGGTTAAAGATAGCTTATGATTTAGTGAGAGTTTGGGTTTGAAGTTTTAAAATTTTATTTTTTAAGAATATATTAGAGGATTTGTAAAATATCACGTCAAATGGATACATAAAACGGATTTTTTTTTGGAGATCTTTTCTGGAATATTTTTGTTGGCTGTTATAGATTATCTCTTTATGAACGTGTAGGCGAAAACCTCATAGAAAACGGAGGTCCGAGCGAAAAGTTATGAATAATTTAAGTGTTGATGGTCAAAATGGGTHMCTASYYGGGCCAACCCGGCCCAACTCGAGTTTTAGCATTATAAATTGGGGTTTTGGCCCATTTCTCTTCCATCTAAATCCAGAACTCACACACACTCTAGAGGTGCGATTTTCACACACATAGGCTTGATTCAACTCAAATCAAAGAGGAACTACAAGATCTTTGAAAGATTTGATCATCAAGTAAGGTACAATCCATTCTTTGCACTTGTTCTTGGTGGATATTCTTGTTTTATGGATTGCATGTTGAGATATAGTTAGGGTTTCATATGGGTTTGAACTTAAGTGTATAAAATGAGTGCATTTTAGTGTTTTTGGCATGAAATGGTCATTAGATTCAAGAGATTATCGAGATTTATGCAAGTTCATCATATGAACTTTGACTTGATTAAGTCAATGATTTGGGAGATAATATAAATGATAAAATAAAGGTTGGATTTTGGTTGTTTA